TCAAATACCTTTCTATCGCGATTATCTCGCCCGACACCAGCCTTTCGTGCGGCGTTTCCCGCGTTTTAGCGTTCAGTGCGCCACCTGGGAGCGGCGTCGCGAACCATATCGCAGACGGCGAACGGGCGGGTACAGGCCATAGGAAATGTACGTCTGCCATTTTTGTTATCTCTCTAATAATTCGCTACTCCAGAGTTGACGTCTGAAAAAAATAGGCAAAAAACTTTGGAATAAACGACGTTCGTGTGCCCAATTTCAGGTGTGTATGTTTGTAATTCGATTTTCGCTAGGCGTGTCAAATGTGAAAGTTTTTACGGCCGCACCCTGTAGATGGCGCCACAGAAAAAGAGAAAACCGAGAAGGACACAATCCGGTCGCTCATTTGGCTTTCGTTTCCCCACCTGTCTATCTTACACCCTGGTACGGAGTCTGTTTTTGAAGCGAGCTGCGCTGTTTTTCCCCGATGCTGCGCTTTCGTAGAACTTTCGCCGGGTCCTCAAAGATGAGACTACCGTTCACGCCAGGTTTGAAGAATCTGCTTCGTCGAACAACTTCAATCGAGCACGAAATATCACCCACTGTACAGTGTACTAGATCTACGGCTATTTTCTGGCAGCCTGCCGCCATTGCGCTGTCCGCTACGTTACTATGATAGCTAGAGATGATATAACCTTACCAAAAAGATGGCCGACCGTGGCCGCATTCCCGTCCATAGGTGGAGCTGGTCAAACGCGATCCAGAAAATAGACGTAGAGACCAGCGGCCGTCCCCGTTTTCGCACCGCTATTCTCGCGCGTCTTGCACAAGTGGGAACTTTAGCGCACCCCTGCATTTCTCACGCGCTCCAACTCTTGCGAAAGTTGACAGATTTAGTGTTCTTCTTTTACACTCAGGCAATTCCATATTGGAACCGTATGTTTCTTTTCACTAATTACAAAGTTAATAACCAAATTTATTTAATTATTCGACTTATCGTGAGGATTAGCCAATAATATGTATCCTCCTGTTTGTCTAACTGAACTGCACAAACCACCTCAGTGTAGTTTACAAAGTTTTTAAACATCTCCGTAAAAAAAAAAAAAATATTTAAAGTATATAGATTATTATGAGGTCCTCACGTCACGCCGCAGCGGTGGCACTGCTGTTTGCGGTGTGCATGCTCAGACTCTTCTCTTCACGTGAATCTCTGGTTTCTGCGCACGCGCATTGCCCTCCTCGTTTTAGTAAAAGCCGGCTTATTTGTAAACAGCGCGTTGGCCTTCCGTTTTTCATTCAAACTAGGATAATTTTGGGTTATTAATGTTTGCCACTGGTGTCGACCTATAACGCGACGTATTCTATGGAGGTTTGTTAGAACGGCGTCCTCAAACACTCAAATTTCACCGTCAGTTTAGCTACGCGGCCACTGTGGTGGAGCTTGAGTGTTCCTGCTCGTGCGAGAACCTCAGTGCGGCTCGGAATACAACGGAACAAGCCGTATCCGTCACTGCCACCGGCCCCCTTTTACGGTACTCCTGTGACGCATGCGTCACGTCACGCGTAGGTCGAACGCTGGGAGCGAAAGTCAGGGCGGATAGTAGACGCCTTGGTTCGTAAAACTCTCAGGCTGGAAACTAAAGGCACCTCTTAAGCCGAGGTCACACTGCTCATACATCGTACAAAAAGCAGTGTGCAAACACGAGTCAGCGCAATATCCGTGGTTCGAAGGCCGCGTGCCACGTTTTCTCCTTGAACTCATTGCTACGCGGCATTTGAAACACAAATCTCGTGGTGACTCGCGTTCCAATCAGTTTGCAGACTGTCTTTCATGTGTTGTTAGACCCTTTTAATGGCAAACGCCACAAAGCGGTGCTCCAGTCTTCGACGTCACAGAGAACTTCCGGTTCATAAAATGAATGAAAAAAAAAAAGCCTTTTACGTTGCTGCTTGAAATGCCTATGAAACTTTTGACCACCGTTTTTTTTTTCAGGTAAATGACAAAAGAGCGAGGCAGCGCGGATCTGTAAAAATGCTTCGTATATTCTTGTAGACCAACTTGCCTCTTCCAGGACGTTCAACTGTTTTAGTCAAAGGGCCTCGTTAAATCTCTAACTTCTTTGTCCGTGTAACATTTCTGCTGTCTAGCACTGCTGACATAAGCAAGCTCGACAAGCTTGCAAAGATGGAGTGACCGGAATTCGCTTGGGACGCAAACGGCAGTTCATGTTTGTAAACAGTAAAAGGGTCTTAAAGCAGTGTGGTCCCGGCTTTATGCTACATTCATGCTGCCTTTCAAATCGCAACCGGAAAGCGGATCTGCTCGATCTCATCATCAACTGCGCGTGAAACTGCACTGAATCCCTAAAGGCTGGTTCACATATTTGCAACGGTTGCGTTCGCATGCAACCGAAACGACCGTAACAACCAAAACACCGTAAAAACCGTGACTCATGGATGGCTTCGCGAACCTACTTCTTGCATCGCTTGCCATGCTGCGTACGGCGAACACTTGTCCCGGTGACTGTCGTTACAGTCGTTTCGGTTGCATGCGAACGAAACCATTGCAAATGTGTAAAGCAGCCTTAAGGGAGGCTGTGGTTTAAGCAACCGAGTTTGCAACCGCTCCTCGAATGTGGTTTAGCTGCCAGTGTAAATGAGGCATTAGTAAGGCATGCAAATCGGATGAAGTATACACGCCAAGTGCAAAATGTTGGTGCCAAGCAGCCATAATGCCCGGGTCCCACTAGATTGACTGATAGCAACAACCGCCACCGGCAAATCTTAAGCACGTACATCGTGTTCACCAAGATACCTTGACAGGCTTTCAATCTATCAGTGCTCGCGAAGTAAAGGCCGGTTCACGCATACAGCGGAGCGCTCAGTTAGCGCTTCATGAGCGCTGGAAGCAGCGCTCATGTGGCACCGACCTACGAGTGACGTAGGGCTCGGCTAGCGCTTCACAAGCGCTCCAGTAGGCGCTTGGTTGGCGCTCCAGAAGCGATTCAGTAGGCGCTCGGTTAGTGCTTCAGCAGCGCAGTGTAACCGCTTATTCGCACTGGAAGCGGATCCGCGTTCGCAAAGCGGTTGCGAACGCGGTTGTATAGAGATCCAGTACGATTGCACGCGCACTTGATGTCATCGAGTGCGGGTAGAATTGTACTGGATCTTTATACAACCGCGTTCGCAACCGCTTTGCGAACGCGGATCCACCCCCAGTGTGAATGAGCGGTAAGCGCTCTCACGTGCTCGCTGCTGTCGAACAGCGCGTGCACGGCGATTCCGTTGTTGTTTTTCCTTTGGTGGTGAAAGAAGAGGAAGTAAAAGAACCGCTTTCCAATCAAAGGGTCCAGCAGACGATCCAGAGTCATGAACTCTGAGCGACTAATTGATTGGGCACGACCTCATCGCTTTCTATTAGATACGCGTCACCCTGGTTTCAAAGACACACAGTTAAAAAAAATCACCTTCGGAAGACCTCTGTGTCTCGGTCCCTCAGCCTGAGAACAAGGCTCGCCGGGGACCCGTCTGTATCTCGGTTGCGAAAAATTTCGCGCGCCCAGAAGATTCTTCTGGGCGTTAAGTCGTCCACACACATACACACTAATTGCTTATGTAAAAGCATTTGTCGCGTTTCTATTTCAGCGTCCCACATGTCCGCCATGGTACTTGTGATGCACACCCAACTACAGGAACCGGAACTGCAGTGCACGCGCTAATTCACAGCAGTAACCGCCGTAAAAGAAGCGCCAACAAGGTGCTACTCAAGCGCTAAGATTGCGCTACAAATTCGGTAATCGTTCGCTATATTAGAACTAAGCCACGCGCTTGGAAGCGCCACATGAGCGCTCTCTAGAGCACTCACGTAGCGTCAACTTAGCGCTCCGCTGTATGTCGGAACTGGCCTTAAACTCGAGTGATTGCTAGCCTGCCAAATATACATTGGCATGCTTGCTGCATCTGCTTCACGTTGGTCAGTGTTAGTTGTTTTTATTTGTTGCTTTAGTGGGGACTGGACCACCCGAGTCTCGTTACACGACAGATAGAAGCAATCGACACCGACGTGCGGCACGCACGCGAAGGTACCTATGGCAGACTTGCAATTTCTTGGTGCTCGTGGAGTAAACACGAGTGAATGCAAGCCTACCAAGGATACCTTTGTGTGCTTTATGCTCGTGCCTGCTGCTTGTTGGTGTCAGGTGTTTTTGCCCGTCGCTCTAGAACGACTCGGCCTAGAGTTCCTGTAGAGGCTCCCTACGGAAGCCAGAGTTGCGCGTTCATCCCCGTAGCGCCGTCTTTCCTGCACGGCATGTTGATCCTGCTCTTCACGTGACTGAATTCGACGAATAGCGGCGCCGCGCGTTCGAGGCGCGCGACACGCTCAAAAGCAGGGGTACGTACTGTCGGGACGCGTGCAACGTCTACTTTCCTGCATGGCATTTGATCCGGATCCTCACGTGATCGGATCACGGCGAGTAGCGGCGCGGCGGCACGTCGAAAACAGACGCACAACTCTGTCTCCCGTTGGGAGCCTATACAGGAACTCTAACTCGGCCATCAAAACGTGTTGTTGAGTTTGTTGTATTAGCGGCGAGATGTTTTGGTGGCGCCCTCCTACGGTTTCCTCTCGTGGCGTCATTATCTCACGAACTAGATCGACGGTGTTTATAATTAGCATAGTGGAAGCTTGAGATCATTGCGCTCTGAAACGAACACTGCCAACACCGTTAAAATTAAAGTTCTTGCATCGCTCTTATTTCTGTCGATGAGAAAACCTTTGCTGACGTCATAGTCACCATTCGACCAATCGTGGAAGGCCGACCACAGTGACGCCTTTGATCGCTCACGTCGCCAATAGCGCCAGCACCTTGCTGAGGGCAATATGACTTTTGCGTTGATTGCAATTACGGAGCTTCTGCTTGTTTCTCTGCTCAATCGAGCGTCCGGGCCCCAAAAATATGGGCCAATGGGAGACTGACCGTGTCAAACAGGCTGAGAAAGTGGCCTTTTTTTTTTCTCTCTAGGTACAAGGGCATTCTACCTCCTGACAGCGTCTGGGGTGGAAAGAATGCGGATGGTGAATGGGCGGGCCAGATTGGGATGGTCGTACGAAATGCAAGTACACCCAAACTGCATTGGCTCCGCGTTAGCTTGATCATTGATCCAGACTTGGGCAGTGCACCTACTAAAGAGTTGGAACTGATCAGTCGGTGGCTTTTAATTCACAAATTAGTTGGGTATTCGGTCTAATGCGTAGGGTATCAATGTTATAAAAGCGTTCCAACGTTTATTTATTATTTAATATTACTACATCTCCGGATAGAGATAGTATAGGGGTGGTGAAATAGTAGTGCAAGCAAAAAACAAAAAACGTAACAGTGTCAGAAGCGTTATGACATTACATTATGCATTTCGGGAAACAATTTATGAGAGTCTTATGTTCTTAAACGTGTACTTGCTCAGATATTTGCGTTTGAGTTTGAGGGAGGGCCTTAGGACAGCGTATTGCTGCTTTCTACAAGATCGTTGCTATTAAAACCGATGTCCGCAAGACGCGTTATGACATTGGTTACAATCAGAAGAAAATATCTGAAACAGTGTTTACAAATGCAGAAACGTTGCAGTTTTAACGAGGTGATTTTGTTTTATTCTTGCACGACACAAGGGGGCACAAGCTGATCTTTTGCTGTGAAACAAGCCAGACAAATCGGTGCCTGCAAATAGAAAGCTCAAACCTCAGCAGATCAGATTCACCGTGTGTAATTTCAAGACTTTCTCTTCCTGTAAAAAAGCGAACAAGACACTTGCCGAAATTAACGACGAACTCATCCGCAGACGATCGAGTTAGCGACACTATTTACTTGTGGCGCCATCTCCCGATAGGTACATCGAGCAGGAAACGCACTATGCTGTCTGCTCGCGACGCCTATCGCGCCTATTTCAAGTAAATAGCGTCGATAACTTGGTCGTCTGCAAGTGTGCCCAATTTTGGCATTGGTAAATTCATTGCTATCGTTAAAAAAAGAAAAAAAAAACGAACAAATTACGCTGTGAACTTTTTTACGGTTAACCTCACCTGATCAATGCCTATTCGGTAAAAGCTTGAGCTTTCTATCTGCAGGCGCTGATTTTTCTGGCTCGGTATAAAGTGGAAGAACTGCATGTGCCACCCTATTCAGTCAAATGCCATGGGGTGATGTGGCAGAAGTAAATAAGTGGAATGAAAGCAAAGGTTACACTCTCTACAGATATCAGATTGCAAGCTAAGCAATCATTGAAAAGTCACAAACACGGTAGCTTGTTTTTGTTTTATCATGAAAGATGATTGTATGCATGGTGTAGCATTTTTTCATCCGGACAGGAACCTGTCATAGCATGGCATCGAAAGGGGTCGAGAAGGTTCGTGTTATGCCTTCCATAGAGCTCTCCGTGAGCGAACTGGATCTTTTTTATTTAGTTTTTAATTGTTCAGATTCTGTAGTCATCTATAGCAATGAGAGTCTCGGGCATAATTTTCCTGTCAGATTCATAACTAACACACTACTCTTGTTTTTCGGCACCAGTAGCCTGGTAGTTTCGTCACCGCACGCGTCACAGTTAACTGTGACGCGTGCGGACGCGCACGCTTGCGCGTGTATTTGTGCTTTCTCTTCGTCAGAATTTTCCATAGTGACCTTTCCAGCGCTTATCATCTGGAGAAAACTTCCGAGTCATAAGGCTGCGCGTGTTAGCCTGGCGTCTAATATTTCGCGGTCAAGACCTACTGCTGATGCTCAGAGTGCGTGAACAAAGATAATGCCGCGCGCGGGGCCATTCTTGCAAGAATATATGTTTTTGCTCTTACATATATAGATCAAGGCATCATTCGGTCAGCGGTCCCATTTTGTTCCCAAATACTATTAAGTATTTAAAGAAAGGATAGCGTGTAGTGTACCTTCGCGCACGGCGGTACCGTGGACGTGGCCTTTTAGGTGGCACTTCGATCAGCGCAGGAGTCGGACCTGGCCCTTGGGCCGGTGACTCCTACGGAGCAGACTTTCTCGGTAGCAGGGCCCCTCCCGTACTACTTCGACACCGAGGCCGGACACGCGGCGGGAAGACTCTCGAGCCACGCCACCAATGTCTTCGGATACATCGGTGGCTTCGACGCACAGGTATGCCAGGCAGAAGGCCAAAAAATGCATGAGGGAGTGCATGAGATCTGACCGTTGGTTTGATGACATGTGCCCTTAATTCTATAATACGGCAATGATATGGTCAATAGTGTCATATAAAATGACTAATCTTGATATGATAGGCTAATCCTTTTGTTTGCAGGCGTGAAATTTAATTTGATGTGCATGGTATTTCTAAACTACTAACCAAAATAAAGCAACGTTTACCGACTGGTAACGAGGAGATTCCAAAAACTGTTTTAGAACCTTGTGCTAAAATTATTTCTTTAACTCTGTCATTATACTTACTGTATACTTAAAGGAGCTGTGCAACAATTTTTGTACTGTGCACAAATACCGCTTAAAACGGATCCCTAACGTTAATGACCTATGAAACACGCGTTCGTTTTTCACCCCACGCAATAGAAGTCCCAGTAAACAATTTAAGAAAAACGAGCAGCGTTCACCCCCTCAACTCGCAGCCAGAACAAGCGGCCACGTGATCTGGAGCCGATTATATGCCGCCAGTGTTGACCATAGCCACGCGCTGGGGTTGGCAAAGTGCAGGACACGCGCTGAGTTGCAGACATTGTTATGGCTCGGCTGTTGTCGTCGTTGCAGCGATTGGACACGGGTCACAACCCGAATGCTTCTCGAGCTAGCAATTGTCACGAGCCCAAGTCGAGTGCCCACGCAATGCTCGGGTCCAATCTATGAACTGCATTCAAATATCGTCACTTGGGTGTACTGTGATCCCCGAGTTACGTCATCAAATTTCGCAAAGGAGAGATTGAATGAAAATGATCGCTTTTGTCCTTGAAATTACACCGCAACAAAGGAGTTTCTTGGCCAGTGGCGTTGCGTGTGAGTATCCTTGAGTCCCAGGTGTGCCAGTAAGCTCGTGTAGAGAGAAAAACATTGCAATTGAATATCGTTACACAGCTCCTTTAAATTCTGATTCTTTACCACTTGACTGGAAGCCCTCAAATTTTGTCCCGATTCACAAGTCTGTTGCCAAAAATGTGGTTGAGAACTACAGGCCTGTTTCTCTCACAAGCAAATCCTGTAAAACAGTGGAACACGCAGCTTACACCAGTCTCATAAATCATCTAGCTATAATTATTTATTTTATTCCGAAACCACATGGTTTCCGCTCCAGGTCATCCTGCACCACGCAGTTAACGGAATTTTATCCTGATATAGCACTGTAATTCGGAAAAAATGAAGCAGGCCGACTGCACTATTTTCAGACTTTCAAAAGCATTCAGCGTGGTTCCTTATGCTCTACTCTCGTTTAAACTTCAGAAACTTAATTTTGACCCTAAATGTTTTTGTTGAATACGTGACTACATGATTTCTAGAAAACAACCCGTGGTAATTAACAAAATCTAGTTCCCCCATGTAAAAGTTACATCTGGGCCTGTTTTCTCGAACGCGAACCGTGGGTTAAAGTTAATTATTGTCCCTAGAAGGGCGAATTCTAGGTCACGTGACTGGGAGAGCAGGGGCGCCGAGGGAGGAGCAGTTCCTACAAGCAAAATGGCCGCGACGTCGCTTAATGAGGGCTAATAGTTCTGCTTGGTTCTGCTGAACATTCATTTCGATCCGGCTATTATATTAATGACGCACCATCAGCTTATTAGCACGTCAAGCAAAGCGGTAGTTCAGAGGGACTACTAAACTAACCGACGGCACAATTCCGCGAACGCATCACTCTTCAGCAGTCCGGGATCCAAGACATATGACGGTACATAAGCCTTGCTAGTGTTTTTATGGTGAGTAAAAAAAATGTTTTGCGAACGGGTGTTGGTATAGGCCCGTAGCTCTTAAGTTTTGAGCAGCGCTCCAGGCGAGCAAAATAGAATATTTGGCTCGCGTTTCGAACGTTGGTCATCACGCTTCCCCACTGCAGTGTTTTTTTTTTTTTTTGTACTCCGTTCCATTCTAAGTGCCAGCGTAGCAGAGTCTACAAGAGCGAGCTCCGAGCTTGCAGTGTCCCTTTTAAGCACGCGCGCTCGTGCAGCGCGAGCATCGTTCAGGGAAAGATGTTTTTGCAAGTAGCCTCGGCTTCGCTATCATGTAAATTGAGACATACGGGTTCACGGAAGCTATAAAGAACGCAATGAAATAATAAAGCTGGTTGGGACGCCGAGGCCGCGAGCCGCATAATTATTTTTTTAATTTTTTTTAGACGTTTTGTTATCGCGCATTTAGAGATGCTGACAAATGCTTGCATTCGAACGTGGCACGTGCAAAATCTAACGTTACAGCGCCACCTGGATAGTGCTGCCAGCATAACATGGTCGCGTCTTGCGGAAGTGCTCGCGCCCCCTGCCCGAGAGCAACGGGTCTATATATTTATACTAACACGTTTAATTTGTTACACAATGCACACCGACTCGTGAGCAGCGATTACTTTGCGGAGGAAGGGGGTTATCCTCGATAAAGTCTTCGTTCCGGGTCAACAGCTGGGACATTGTACTGTTTTTTTTTTCTGTTCGTAGTGCGCCGACAGAATGCCGACAGCATCGAGGTTTCTACATATCCCCGGTGGCGAGCAATTCAACGGTGACGATAAGCTTAGCTTATCGTCACCGGTGGATCGGTTGGGCAAACGGAAGAGAGGGCAAACAGTTGAGATCAGCAGGAATCACAGAAACGCGCGTCTAAAGGAACAAAAACGAGAGTACCGCACCGGCGTTGCCAGACTGGAAGGCACACGGGAAAGCTAGGCGTTGTTTATGACGAAACATTTTGAACGAAATGTTTCTTACATTTTCGAATATTCGTCGACAAGCTCTAGCATAGTAGCAAAAATGTCTTCGTACCATCTGAAGCAAATAAATTGGTCTTTAAGTACATTATTACTATATTTTGACTTAAAATACATACTACATCGATGACAACCAGCGGAAAAAAGAGGATAAACGAAATGACTGGCTTGTTTCACCGATAGATGGCGCATCTTACTGCCCAATCAAAAATAATTATTGTTGTTCTATATTCAGCCGTTACTTACAGTACCTAGGTACTTTTTCCTTCCTAGGCACCGTGGTTTACCAAAATGGGTTTACCATCGCTTCGAGAAAACCGGCCCTGGTGTCCCGCAGGAATATGTGCTCGGACAACTCCTGTTTTTATTTTTATATTAATAATATGGTCCAAAATGTATCGGTGGATGATCTTATAAAATTTCGTTTAAACTCATGTTGAAATATTTTTTGAAAAAGTAATACTTCGTTGAAGTTACAGGAATTAGTCAGGCGAGCTGGTTACGGATAGACTTGGTGGTCCTGGAGTGAAGGGACAAAAAGGAACGCACATACACGACGCTCCGAACTCAACTATATATGTGTTAGAAAAAAGACATCCTGAAAAATACACTGAAAAAAAAATTAAAAATTAAAAAAATATTACAATCAAATTTTCAAGAAAAAAAGACAAAAAAATAATTACAGCGCTATGGAGGAGGAATAAACGTCTTTATTTGTCTTCAAAAGCTAGCCCATCTGGCTAGGGGAGGCCGAAAGCCCCACCCGGGGTAAGGGTGCAGGGGGCCCGGTTGCGGACCTGCCTGTCCCTCAGTTCCCGAGCCTTCTGAACGGCCCATCGCTGTCCTTCCAGTGTCGTATCCTTGACTCCGGCGTCCAACATCTCAGGCAACGTTCCAGGCGCGCCTACCGGACTGCAGTCCCACAACACGTGCATGACCGTAGCCTTTTCCCCACATACAACACACGCATCCGTTCTGTACACGTCCGGAGCCATATACCGGCCCAACACCGGCGTGAAGATGCATTTCACTTGAAGCTGCCTTAGAAGGACGGCTTCCTCTCTGCTTAGGTTCTCGTGCGGAGGGGGATACACCCGCCGCGCTTCTCGTTTCGCTCGTAATACTTCCCCGTAGCCCACCGGAGCGAACACCGCCGCCCCACCGAAAGCCCGGCCTAATAACTCTCGGGCCATTCGGTCAGGAGCGACATTGCCGCCCATGTGCGCAGGGGTCCACACCACTTCCACCTCGTTACGAGGTTTGCACAGCTTGGCGACTAGAGGCGGAACACGACCGCGCGCGTACCCCCTCACCGCAGTCATCGAATCGCTTAGCACTGCTTTAACCCCTGGCAGGGAAACCGCTATGCTTATGGCAATTCCTTCTGTTACACAAACATCTCCGCCCCTAACACTCAGGGCCGTCTTGATTTCCCCGGTGGCCAGATCCGTGACAACCGCCACCCCAACTCCATCACGTACAGCTGCATCAACACAGACCGCTCCTCCAGATTTCAAGAACAGTCGCTCCAGAGCTTGCGCTCTGGCCGCACGACGCCCAGCGTCTCTCGTGGGGTGCATGTGTCTCGGGATCGGGCGCACTTTCACACATCTCATGGTCTCATTGGGTAACTCAGCTAGTCCGGTGTTTCCACGACTTACGCCGACTCGGGCGAGAATTTCTCGTCCAGCCGCAGTACCGGCAAGCCTTAACTCCTGAGCTTCTCGGTGTGCCTCAATCATCTCGGTCACCGAGTTATGCACCCCAAGGGCGTCCAGGTCGGCGTTATGCGTGAAAGAGAGCACCCCCAAACCGGCTCTGCAAGCTTTCCGCACCATCGCATCCAGCTTGTTTAGCTCGGCCTTCCACCATTTGAGATATGGCCCTACATACATGATATGGCTGAGGGCAAAAGCCTGGACTAGCCTCAACACTCCCTCTTCTCTGATGCCTCGTCTCCTACTGGAGACCCTCTGTATTAATCGCATGGCTGCCAGGACCTTTGCCCTCAGCCTGTCTAGCATGGCGGAGTTGCCCGCCTTTTCTTGTAACACCAAACCCAACACCCGAAGCGTAGGCACTTTCGGTATCAACCCTCCGTCCGCGTACAGTAATACTTCTTTCCACGAGCTTCGATGTTGTTGACACATTAAGTACTCAGATTTTTCTGGTGCACACACCAGTCCCGTTCCCTCTAAGTTTTCTTCCACCAGTTCGATACCTGTTT